ATATATGTGACTTAACACTTGACTGCAAGACCTGTCTTACATCTTTATGTCATCACACTTTGTGTGTGGAAGTGACAAGTGTGGCATTTGCTTATTTATAATAAAAGCATTTTTAAGTTTTTAAAATATTGATGTAGGAATTTCTGCATTCTTTTTCCTGTAGAGTTGAAAGATAAGCTCGAGCAACTCAAGGACACTTGGGACACCATCATTGACAAAGCCAATGACCGTGGCAGTGCCTTGGATGATTGTCTTGATGCCTCCGAGAGATTCTGGGATGAACTTCAGGGTGTCTCCAATACAGTGAAAGAGACGCAAGATACTCTGAAATCACAAGAACCACCCGGTGTGCAAACAGATGTCATCAAAGAACAGCAAGAAGTCTTGCAGGTATGGAGTGAATACTGCCCTATGGCTCTAAGTTGAACTGTCATTGGCATCTGTTGCTTTGCCCTTATTAAATACATCATGTGTAATTTAAGGGTATCTGCATATATAATGTTATTGAGAAATGTGATTTCAAAATAAGGAGTTTTAATCGTGGTATATAACAGACTTTTGTGATGTTGATGTATCTCACAAGTGCATACAACTGTATGGATTATTGAAGTGATTTGTTGGTATTTGAGTGTGATTTTCTTTCTTTCTTTCAAAAACCAGGCAATTAAGGAAGAGATTGAAGGCACTCAGGATGATGTGGAGAATGTACGCCAGACTGGAGAAGATCTGATGAGACTATGTGGTGAACCAGATCGGCCGGAAGTGAAAAAGAATATTGATGAGCTTGATAAGGAATGGGATACTTTGAACGCTATGTATGAGGACCGAGAAGAAGCGCTAACTGACGCTTTTGATGCTGCATCCAAATACCATGATGCATTACATGTTAGTACCTTTATTTTAAGCTGAGTGATTTCTGAAAAAAATGTATTAAATATTTAATTAAAAACTGAATATATATATGGGCTCTTTGAAGAGTTTTCTACCAAACAATAAAAAAACAGTGAGAACTGAAAAGTTTGTAGTTTAAAAAGTTCACATGTTGTATACTTGGGATAAAAATAATATTGAAATGGCTTTCAATATCTCTTCTGATTGGCTTATCTGATCACATGACCTCAAGTAGTGAGAAAATATTGCTCATACCATGTTTCAGTGGTGAATTACTCACAAGCAAATATTAAAAGTATTTGGGTTCAATATCTCTTCTGATTGGCTTATCTGATCACATGACCTCAAGTAGTGTAAAAATATTGCTCATACCATGTTTCAGTGGTGAATTACTCACAAGCAAATATTAAAAGTATTTGGGTTCAGTATCTCTTCTGATTGGCTTATCTGATCACATGACCTCAAGGAGTGAGAAAATATTGCTCATACCATGTTTCAGTGATGAATTACTCACAAGCAAATATTAAAAGTATTTGGGTTCAATATCTCTTCTGATTGGCTTATCTGATCACATGACCTCAAGTAGTGAGAAAATATTGCTCATGTTTCAGTGATGAATTACTCACAAGCAAATATTAAAAGTATTTGGGTTCAATATCTCTTCTGATTGGCTTATCTGATCACATGACCTCAAGTAGTGAGAAAATATTGCTCATGTTTCAGTGATGAATTACTCACAAGCAAATATTAAAAGTATTTGGGTTCCTTCATTCATTTGCAGGCCTTATTGGAGTACATCACTGATGCCGAACAGAAGTTTGACACATTTGCTCCTGTGGCAACAGAACCTGTGACAATCAAGGAACAACTTGAAGAACTCAAGGTAAATGTAGCTTTCAGAATATATGTAAACAGGTTTACAAATATTCTGATTCTTTGTGTATCCATGGTAATTCTATCTAAACTAAAATAAAGTGTTATAGTTGTTATGTGAGCTAATGATGAAGACTAATAATGTCGTTGTCTACTTTTATGTCTATTTACTGTTTAATTATTGTTGTTTTCCAGTCCCATAAAACAAACTAATTTTATTGATTTTCTTCTTCCTATTCTCAGGAATTTAAAGGAGAGCTGGATCCACACCAAGTCGACGTTGAAGCCATCAATCAGCAAGGTAACCAGCTAATGTCTAAATTACCAGATGACTGCAAACACATAATCAGAGGACCACTTGTGGATCTCAACAGAAGATGGGATGGCCTTCAGGTCAAGACTGTTGATAGAAAGGTATGCCAGCTAAACCTCTTGATTTCTAACTCACTTTATTCGTAATGTACATTCAGTTACATCACCTCATGAATATTTATTAAGTTGCATCACCTCATGCATATTCATAAAATCATTTTATATACATATCCCTATTTTGTTAAAATCATTTTTTTAGATAACCCTAATATGTTAAAATTTAAAAAGATACTAAAATTGATTAATGCTTGTCCAAACATTGAAGTGATTAATTAATTACTCAATCTTTCTGGGTACTTTCAGCACAAACTTGAAGCAGCAATGTTAGCTCTCGGCCAATTAGAAGGTACATTAGATGAACTTCTTAACTGGTTGAAGGCAACTGAGAAAGCATTGGATGAGGCCAAGCATGTGTATGGTGATCGCAAACTGATTGAAGTGGAGCTTGCCAAACATAAGGTTCTGCAGAATGATATCTTAGCTCATCAAGCGAGTGTTCGTCAAGTTAACACCGCAGGAAAGAATTTTATCGGAACAGAGGACGCTGATCAAGCTGGCGCGATGAAATCTAAACTTGATGATTTGAATGAGAGATGGGAAGACGTGATGAAGAGGAGTGATGACAGACAGCGAGAACTAGAAGATGCTCTTGATGAGGTAAGTTGAGGTTTATGATTCTATTGTATGATTGGTTACAGCTGTGTTAGCATCAGATATGGCAGTTTTTGATTTGTTATCATTCTGTCCAGATTAAATGTTTGTGTAGTGGTATTTATTCATTATGTAAACATGATTGTTTATATTACTATTATTAAGAATTTGTTTAATATATTAAATTTCATTGAATATTGTCTATTCTTAGGCTTATTCGTGGCAAGAAGGTGTTCTGACTATGCTGAAATGGATGCAGAAAGTCACACACGACTTAGAAACTACCAAACCAACTGGTGGACTTCCAGAAACTGCTAAAGAGCAGCTCGATCAACATGTGGTAAGAAAAGAAAACACTTACTATTTAAGTAATGCTATCATGAAGCAGTATTTGGTACTTCCATGTGCTTTGTTTATTGTTGTTGAGACTGAATCTCCAAAAAATATACTCTGGAAACACTGAAACAAATATTTTGTTTTCAAATTGTGGGACAAAGTGTGGCACCAGTGAAAGGAGAAAATCAACAATGTTCTTGAAAATGGAACTTTCATTTAAGGATATTATGAACAATTTAACTGTTAAGAAAAAGTGGATAAAACTGTCTGCATGTACTTGACCTTTTAGATATTTAGATATCTAGATATTTAGATATCTAGATATCTTTAGAAAAATCATCAAGAAACTCTATTTCTTCTCTATTTCCTTGTACTCTTCAGTTGACTTCTAGAAACTCAAGTTGACTTCCTCTCAACTCTAGTTGATATACTCTTTTCAAAAGTTGACTTCCACTCCTCAAAGGACTCTAGTTGACTTCCGCT